AAATCACCTTGGGGCTTTTGACCACTGCCCCAAGATGCCCACTTCAGCAATCCCCCTTCTGACAGAGGCCCCGGCGCCAGGCCTAGGCTCGGCAGTTCCTCTCCCCTGTGGAGTCAGACACACAGAGTCCACACGCAGCAGCATCCTGCCACCTGTACCCTTAGCACACATCTCCGGGTGGACCCTCTTCCAACCAAGTCCCAGAACTGTCCCCCGAGTCCCACCCTTGGGCCCTGGGCACAGTGCCCACACCTCCACCCTCCATACTCCTGGGTTCTGGACCACAGCCAGCATCACCCACCACCCACCCACATCCTTCACTCCCAGTGGCAAGCCTGAATTACCTTCCCAGAGCCGCTGTCCAGAGCCGAGAGGATCATCCCCCTGGAATGAACCCCAATGGCTATTTATGCCTGTGAACAGCTCCTCCTCCTGCTTAGAAAATGTTGGCTGGGACACATCTGCGCTGTGTTCTGACCAGAAGTGGTCAGATGATCATTTCTTGTAACTTGGGTTAAAGAAATAAATCTAAGACAATCTTGTTACTGGAACCTCCTTACCCCCCTCCCTACAAACAACAATCACCAACTCCCCTGGTCTCCTTCAGATGTTAGGAAAGGCCCATGGAGGCTCGTGGGAAAACCTTGTGCGTATGAAGAAGGACAGGAGAGATATGCAGCTCACATTTTGCTTAACTTATTTCCAAGTCACTTTTTAAAATTATCTGTGTTTGGGAGAAAAAAAAATCTGTGTTTGTGATGGAAGGCGGTGAGATTGACCAAGATACACTGTGTTCATAAACAGATTTTTTTTTGTAAGTAAAAGCAGAAACAACTGTGTTTGTGAACCTCTGTGTGTGTGTGTGTGTACGTGCGTGTGTGTGTGTGTGTGTGTGTGTGTGCCATGTCTCTCTATGTACATTTAGATACATAGGGCATCCTTCCCCAGGAGTCGTGAGCCTCAGGGCTCTGCCCCCTCCAGATGTGCACTTAGAGTAGTGGGAGGCAGTGTTTCTAGAGAATGCTTGTTGGGGGCCCTAGTTCCCAGGCTCTCTTTGTCTTTGGCCTTCATCCTCTCCTGCCTCTTCGGCTGATTCACCCTCATTAACCTTGAATTTCAGGTCTCCCTTCATCTTAGGCCTGTCTCCGGCTCCTAACCAAACTCCCATCCATGATAGCTACTGAGAAAGCTGAGTGGAACCCATCCCAGGCTCCACACAAAGTCGGGTCTGGAAACCTCTGGATTAGTAGAGAGCTGATAGTTTGGGCCTGAGGTGGTTTGGGTTGAATCCCAAGGCTGAGCTCCGACAAATCACCTCAAGTCCCGGCTTTCCCATGTGTAAGAGGCAAGATGATGGGAAGTAGAGTCGGGTGCTGCTCAGAAACATTCGGAGAAATGTGATTCGGGATGTTTACCCAGTTGTATAAGCACTGTGGAGTGTACTTTCAGAGACACAGACCAGGTCAGGTATCAGTGGTTCACCCTCTAATCCTAGTTACTTACGAAGCTGAGATCTAAAATTGTGGTTTGAGGCTAACCCAGGCAGGAAAGTCTATAAGACTCTCAATTAAACAGCAAAAAAATGGGGAGCTGTGGCGCAAGTGGTAGAGTGCTAAACTTGAGTGAAAAAGCTAAGCAACAGTGCCCAGATCCTGAATTCAATACACTCTAGCCAGCCCAGTTGTACACACACATTGAGTTTGGCTCCATCCCTCTTTGAATAACTATTTATGTTCTTTGGGTCTTCAATCCAAATATTGTCACTGTTGAATACGTATTTAATTACGTTAGTTAGTTGAATCAAGGATGGAGCCCAGAGACCCTCGCGTGCTAAAGTGGATTGCTATTGTGGCTTCACTTTGTCACGAAGCCAGACTGCTTCTGTCCCGTTTCTCTGCCATCCCTAGAAACTCTTGTCCTGAAGGTTCTACCTGCGTCTTGTGTACAGGGTGCTGTCTGACACCGTCCTTCCCTGGGAATTTACTGGAAAGCAAAGCAAAGGCCATCTAAGAGCACCTTCTGGAACCCTCCAGAACCAGCTCCTCCACTTACCACAAGGGATGTTAGGCCCATAACCACCACCACCAACAACAAAAAGGAGGCTTCTTCGCATTGTGTTGGACTTGCGGAATGGCTTTTAGTAATGGAAAGAGCATGGCAGGCGGACTAGAGAATTGTTTTTTGGGATTGAATTACAAAGAATGAGACTGCCTGCTTTGTATTCTCTATTTCACACTCATTTTCATTTGCTTGTTCTCACTTTCTCTCCCTCCATCCTCCCCACCCCTTCGCCCTACTTTCTCCTGGAAGTCATTTGGATCAGCCCTCTGAGTAGGCCCACAGAGACTTCCCATCCCATGAGTGAGCTTGGATGGGGCACCTTTGGTCCTGGCCAACAATCTGACTACAGACTCAGAAGAGCCAGAGCCACTCAGCTCAGCCCCTCTTGGATTCCTGACTCTGTGAGACAACATGTGTTTATTCTTTCAAGCTGTGAGTTTGGGTGGTTTGTTTTGTGGCAGTTCATGACTCACGCAGATGTACACCACCCTTTCTCTTGGCTCCTTGTATCAGAGAGAAAGA